CCTGCTGAATGTGATGATATTCAAGCACCTCTGCTTTACAAATTGAGTTTGCCTGGATTTCAGCTCGGAAACAGAAGCTTCTCCTAACATATTCTTTGCGGCATTCGAAGATGTGGTGCGGAGAAGCAAAGGACCCGACTGTAGTAGTAATTGATGATGCGTCACTGCCGTAAAAGAGACCCTCTCCCCCTAATAACAACGAACAATTAGGCGTCGCGATTGATTCAAAGGGGTGAAGACTGATGGTTTAAGAAGCACTTGCAGTAGTGCTCAACGTCGTGAGTGATGAGAGACGTAGTGATGGAGGATTCGTGGTGGAGCCTGCCAGACAAGGTGGGTGCAACGTGTGATGGATTAACAGGTGATGGTTGGCAAACTTGCGAGACTGCCAATTGAAGTGGACTGTCTTCACTTCATCCACGCGCCCTATGAATGCCATTAAATGCACCGTCCGCTTTGGATAGTCCGCTGTCTGTCTGTCTAACTGCCTGACCAACTGATCGACTGATTAGCTGAACGATCCGTGCTACGAAACGACTGTGGTGTTGCAATCGTAAGCAGACGTCGCAAAAGACCATTTTCGATGCATAAACGATTGACGTACCACCTCTTAGCTGGCATTTCTAAGGTAGGCACTACTGTGTCCCACAAAGCAAAGCTATTCTTCCTTGTGGGTGTGTTTGTACGTATTTGTGGTGCACCGCAGACGAAATCGTTCACTCTGGTCGAAAGTATTGCCCAAGAGTCCTTCTGTACAGCGCAATACATCTGGAAAGTGTGCAAGAAGGTGGTCATTATGCGAGAGAGACTTGACAGGTAGGTCTGATGGACCAATGACAATGCAACACTGCACGTCGCGGACACTGACCCCTCCTGGGGATGGAAGGGAAGGAGGGAGGGAGGCAGGCAGGGAGATGGAGATGGATGTTTGCCTCTTCTTTATCCCCTCCCTTTGTATTCTCCTCATATTCCCACAAGTGTTACCAACCACCTTTTTCGACTTCTTGACATTTGATGGACACGTGTGTGTGTGTGGAAGAGAATCGGTCTTTATTGGAGACAGTGGGGTGGAACTGGAAGTGACTGGTGTAGGCATTGATTGTATCCTCCTTCCAAATGGCGAAAACGTTGTATGGAAATGTAACTTGCAGACAGTTTGTGTGTTTGTGAGTCAGGATGCTAGGTTGCATTTGTGACTATTTCAAAGAATCAACATTACTTTT